CAGACTGAGTGACACCAGATAATAGAAATATGTAAGCAGAAAAACATGCAATAAGCACAGGGGATTGGAACATGGTGTTGTCAGTGGTTAGAGAACAAGATCTTTGCTAAGGAACTATTTAGAAAAACATGTTTGTAGCTGTAATAGCTGTAAGGCTTTGCGCTGTGCAGAGAGTGCCACCCTCTGCTTCTCCAGAGTAGGGAGCCTTTCTCTCCTATCTGACTCTTCCTCTTTTTTTTTTTTTTTATTGGCCAGAGCAAAGATGAATAAATTTGCCTTCTCCTTTTAGGGGCAAGGCCCTGTGGGTTCCCAAAAAAGGCAATTCCTATTAAGGTCTGAGAGAGCTTACTTGGAGAGAAGGTGGCACAACAGCTCCTGCATCCAGCCTAGTTGTAGGGTGAAAGTATGCTGTGGCTGGCTGTGGTTAAAGGACCATCGCGGTACCTTTTGATTTTTATATTTGAAGAATAAAAGGGTGGCCTGCGAAAGGAACTTGAATAGACTTTGGGACAAGCCATGGCCTCTTTCTCTGCTGGAGATGGAGACTGCAGTTTACACAAGCAAGTCTCCTGCAAATTTACAGTAAGCCCTGCACTTAAAGGCCTCATTTGTGTTCGTGTTTGACAATTTTTCTGCAACTACCATGACATTCCCCTGTTGTGCTAAAACTTGTGTTACAATGATAGATATCTTTCAGTATGAAGGATTCTCTCTTTCGTCCAGGCAGCTTGTTTATGCCTGCTGCAGCTTTATGCCATGCTTGGGCGGTAGTCTCTGAACAAGTGGTTATTCCTGTAGCTGGGGGGCTTGGTGCCATGTGGCAGACTACTAAGTAAAAAAGAGATTCTTTGGAGCTTTACCCAAACAATAAGTTGTCCCAGACAGATGGGATCAAAGTCAAGATTAGCAATAAATTGTCCTAGAGAGATGGGATCAAAGTCAAGATTAGCAACTCATCAGTTTTAATTTGACTTCTCAGTGGGAAGCAAAACTCCAACTTTTTGCATTCTTACAAGAAAAGCAAAGCAACAGATTGAACCAAGATTAGGCATTCAAGTCTTCCTCTCCATATTGTCCTTGCCATCTTCTGTGGAAGAGTATCCAGTGAAAGTCACTACTAAGGAATTTGAAACACACCTTCGTACCCCCGAGTTCTTGGGGACTCCTCTCAAATTTCACCAAAGGCTCATTCTGTTGAGGGCTCTTTCAGCTCAGCTCTTCTGCACCCATACAAACCCCACAGACAGTTTACAAGCTCCATGCTGAACATGTGCATCCCGCTGAGAAGGTCAAACCTCAGCTCACACTGGTACTGAGCCCCAGCCAGGGATTGCCCACTTGTACAGGCATGGGGCTTGGGCAGCAGAACAGCAGGAGGATGCTGATCCCTGAATCCAAATACGCTTTCTCCAGATACTTGTGCAGATCCCTTACTGAGAGCGTGTTGGTGAAGCTGGGAACAGTAAAAGGTGATTCATTCAATAAAGCGTCTAAAAAGATTGCACTGAGGCGCACACTACCCAGTCTTTCTTGATCACCCCCATCTAGTCCCTACCTCTGATCATCGGGCTCGCTCACCTCCTCAGATCCCTGCATTTCCACTTGCAAATAAATAGTCCTCCTTCTGAATTAGCTTGTAAAGTAATGTTCTCTTCCAAATCATGCCTCGAGGGCTACCTCTGTGTAATGCATGCAGGAAATCTCCCAGTTACTGTCATTAGCAGCATGCCAGGAGCTACAGTTTTGCAATTTAAACAATTTAGACTCGCTGCTGGTTTGGGTTTAACTATCTTCCCGACTTGTTGAACAGCCTCACGTCTTCCTAGACAGCTCAGTGAGTTCATGGTCATATTAAGGATAATTTGGACAGGTTGACAAAAGCAAAGAGGAGTACCTGGAAAAGCTGACTATGTATGTTTACCTGGCAATTATATTTAGGGTGACAACATGATATTAGAAGAATTATTTTCATTATGAAAATAAAAATGTTCAGTTTTCTGACAGGGTGTGGGGGGGCAGTGATGTGAGTTTTTCAGATACATGTCTGGTTTTCCGTTTCCATTTACTAAACTACAGTCTGCTCCATACAGAGACTCAGTAAGGTTAGGAGTAAAATGTACCCAACCAATAAACTCTCCAGCAACCCAGTGAGATAAGCTTCTGTACCAATGGAAAAAAAAAAACAAAAACCAAAAAACTAGAAAAGAAAAAAACACCAAGTACAGGAGGAAACGGTTGTGAGGAATACCACTCTGATGGGGTGGTCCCCCATACCCTGGGGGACTTCTGGGCCCAGTGCCAGAAAGGTGCTGAAGACACAAAGGACTGATTTACAAGGAAGGGCCATCAGGAACGCTGGGAATGTGACACGAACAGGACATGTCATTGAGCTCCCCCGACTCTAGTCCAGTGCATGGTACCACTAATCCAAAAATGATCCAAACCATGAAGGCTGCGAGGGGCGCATCGCTTTTAGACACAGATTTAAATTTTAATTTATGCACACGTTTAATTTTAATTTATGCGAGTCGGGGTCCCGCACGGAGGTCGGAGGTCCCGGTAAGTCCCGCCCGGCCGGTCTGGCCCT